AAAGGCCATTTACCATTTTTAAGCTGCCGTAACTTCCTGTAAAAGATGATGATTCAGGTATGATTGATGATTTCAACAACTGGTGTAGCTGAGAGGTTAAACTCTGCAGGTAAATCCTCCTCCTCAGCCTCAGAAAGCATCTCTCCACTTTTTATTTGACATATTTTTGTTTCGGTTCATACTTGAAGAGAAAGAGGAAGAGATGTGGTGGAGCCTGTTTCAGTATCACAAATCAGTTTTTACTGCTTTGAATTTCATCTCACCTCGTCTCTTAATGTGTTCTATTCTAAAACATAGGTCTGTTCTTTTTCCTTTTAGGAAAGAGGGCAGAAAGACTAGTTTTTATTGTTAGTCAACTGAAAAGCAGATTTCTGAAAGTATCTGAAAACTAATTAAACATATGCAGTTTTATTTACATTCTGAGTTTGTCACAATCAAATGCAAGAATTTTTCTTTAATATCTGTTTGTCCTGTTTATTCCTTTCAAATGGGTTCTTTCTTTTGATCATCCTGGCGTCTGTCAGCCATAAACTGCTTGTTGTTTCCCGTCTCCGTCTTTTGTCCTTGAGTTGTTTCCAGCTCAGTCCCCTCAGCCTTTGTCTCCTTGGCCCTCATCTGTGTTCTTCAACCACCCTTTACCTCAAATAAAAATAATATTGGAGCATCAGAGAAGTGTTTGAAAGCAACGTTCCCTGAGAAGCAGTTTTTACTTGTTATTTTTTAAATATGATGGGTCTCTTGGAGTTTCACATGCAGGCTGAACATGAAAATAGTCTTCTACCCCTTTATCCTGTATTAGCCACTGATAGAATAGCCTAGTGAATTAGACCAAATTCTTGCCTTGCAAAGTTTGAACTATAGATTGAAAACATGCCTTAAAACTTAAAAGATTCAAAATATTAAAATATACACAATTTAAGGACTAAAAATAATTTGAGAATGAATAAGTGACAAATACCACTGATGTGTGCTTTATTTAAAATCGATTTGCACGTGTGTAATTTGGTTATTCCACACTCAGTGTTACTGCAAAAAAAAAAAAGCTGTTTCCAAATGAGAAAGTTCAACAGTATCTGTTGATAAAGGAAAATGTGCACATTTGCCGTCACTTTTTCAATAAATATTGAGTATGGCCCACAACTTCGTTCCTGTTTCTCATTTCGGCCAAGTGTGAAATTGAGTGTTACACCTCTGATCTAACTGAAACATCTTTTTTGTGTTACTTTACATTCACGCAATACTTTTCCAAAGCTCATCGCTAGATTAACCACCCTATAACACCATGATGGAATAAAAACAGTGGTGGTACGTGTCTCCTCAATCAAATGTAGGACGTAAAAATCAGCAAATTCTTCATTTCTGCATCCATCAGGATTTTAAATATTCTACAACTGCTGGAGGAGCTGCCAGACATTCATTTTCCATTAGGATCAATAAAGTTTAACTATCAAGTGTATTGATCATTGCAGAGGTCCACAGTAACACAATAACATGTTTTCTAAAAGATAAAGTTAAAATTTAATGCAACTTTCTTTAACCTTTACCTTTGTATAATAAAAACCATGTGGTGATAAATGCTTTAGCGTCCAGAAATGGTCAGATTTTCATCTATTTTAGACTTTTTAGAGACCCGTCATCTTCATACATCAATCTGCCTCTGTGCATCTTCCTGTCTAATATTCCAAGCTGCAAGAAAGATTTTGCAAGTGTTCTGAGGTTTGCTTGGTATTACCCTCAGTGCGCCGTTATCTCCGTGACGGTAAATGAGGGAAAAACAAACTGATCGGATCCTGCACGTCTTTTAACACATTGGTCAGGATTGACGCACTTTGTTTTCATTTAGTTGGTTAAAAAAAAGTCGGGCTCGGGTCGGGCCAGAGAATCCTGAAAACCTTTTCGGGCCGGGTCGGCTGGGGCTCCACCCCCTCGGGCCGGGCCGGACACGGGCTCAGATTTTAGGCCCGTGCAGGGCTCTAGCTAGGGGCTGTGGAGGTTCCAAGACCAAACTTTACAAAGCAAGAATTTGGTCTAGTTCACCGGGCTAGAAAATGTTTGAAAGCTTTTGAGATTTAATATACAGGTGCTGGCCAGTAAATTAGAATATCATCAAAAGGTTGAAAATATTTCAGTAATTCCATTCAAAACGTGAAACTTGTACATTATATTCATGCAATGCACACAGACCAATGTATTTCCAATGTTCATTACATTTAAATTTGATATTCATAAGTGACAACTAATGAAAACTCCAAATTTGGTATCTCAAAAAATTAGAATATTCTGAAAAGGCTGAATATAGAAGACACCTGCTGCCACTCTAATCAGCTGATTTACTCAAAACACCTGCAAAGGCCTTTAAAAGGTCCCTCAGTCTTGTTTTGAAGGCCCCACAATCATGGGGAAGACTTCTGACTTAACAGCTGTCCAAAAGACAATCATTGACACCTTGCACAAGGAGGGCAAGACACAAAAGGTGATTGCTAAAGAAGCTGGCTGTTCGCAGAGCTCTGTGTCCAAGCACATTAACAGACAGGCGAAGGGACGGAAAAAATGTGGTAGAAAAAAAGTGTACAAGCTCTAGGGATAACCGCACCCTGCAGAGAATTGTGACGACAAACCCATTCAAAAATGTGGGGGAGATCCACAAAGAGTGGACTGCAGCTGGAGTCAGCGCTTCAAGAACCACCACGAGGAGACTCATGAAAGACATGGGATTCAGGTGTCGCATTCCGTGTGTCAAGCCACTCTTGAACAAGAAACAGCGCAAGAAGCGTCTCGCCTGGGCCAAGGACAAAAAGGACTGGACTGATGCTGAGTGGTCCAAAGTTATGTTTTCTGATGAAAGCAAGTTCTGCATTTCCTTTGGAAATCAAGGACCCAGAGTCTGGAGGAAGAGCGGAGAAGCACAGAATCCACGTTGCATGAGGTCCAGTGTAAAGTTTCCACCGTCAGTGATGGTGTGGGGTGCCATGTCATCTGCCGGTGTTGGCCCACTCTGTTTCCTGAGGTCCAGGGTCAATGCAGCCGTCTACCAGGAAGTTTTAGAGCACTTCATGCTTCCTGCTGCTGACCAACTTTATGGGGATGCAGACTTCACCTTTCAACAGGACTTGGCACCTGCACACAGTGCCAAAACCACCAGCACCTGGTTCAAGGACCATGGTATCCCTGTCCTTGATTGGCCAGCAAACTCGCCTGACCTTAACCCCATAGAAAATCTATGGGGTATTGTGAAGCGGAGGATGCAATACGCTAGACCCAACAATGCAGAGGAGCTGAAGACGACTATCAGAGCAACCTGGGCTCTCATAACACCTGAGCAGTGCCACAGACTGATCGAGTCCATGCCACGCCGCATTACTGCAGTTATTGAGGCAAAAGGAGCCCCGACTAAGTATTGAGTGCTATACATGCACATTCTTTTCATGTTCATTCTTTTCAGTTGGCCAACATTAGAGAAACAAACATTTTTTCATTGGCCTTTAGAATATTCTAATTTTCTGAGATACCAGATTTGATGTTTTCATTGGTTGTCACCTATAAATATCAAAATTAAACGTAATAAACATCGGAAATACATTGGTCTGTGTGCATTGCATGAATATAATGTACAAGTTTCACGTTTTGAATGGAAGTACTGAAATATTTTCAACCTTTTGATGATATTCTAATTTACTGGCCAGCACCTGTAATAGATTATCAAATATGCCTGTGTGTATACTTAGCTAATCTAAGCAGCAGCAGATCATTACAGCTTAGTTTGTTTTTTAGGCAATATTTCTCTTCTATGTGTAAACTACCAACGTTCATGTATAAGTAAATAGTATCATATCTCTGCCAGATAACAAAATAGAAACGTATCGGACAAGGAAAATCAGACTAGCTGTGAAAACTGTTGAGTTTCCCTGGTTTTATAAAAGCTGGTCCACACCATGAAAGAAAAACACAATAAATACTGGTTGAGATATAATTTGGTCCGTCTAAATCTATGGTTCTTTTCAGAGCTGTAGGCTACATTTAATGCAATATTAAACTTTTTGCTTAGACTGAGCATCCGTCTGACCTGATGCAGGTTTACGGTTGTATCCTCAGGGTGTCCAGTGGGAGGTGATTTGGGAGTCTCATGGCATGGCTGTTAGTCATCAGCTTTAACTCTGAGAATAACAAAATAACCTTTAATTTGTCTGCTTTAGGGGATAAATTTTTAGAAAAATGTCACTGTGTGAAGTCCTGTTTATGTTCCAGATGCAGGTGATTTCCCAGCATTCCTCTGATTGGTGCAGAACACATGCTGGGGTGCTGCAGGTTGCCTTTTAATTAGCTTTTTTATGCTTCTAACAAATCCTCAGAGCAATTAAATGAATGATTTACTCTTATTTAAAAGATTTGTGGTCATTATCAACAGTAATGAATTACTGAGTCATTGATATTGGTGCCAGATGACTAAACAACGCGGCGTCTTGTTTGAAGACTGAATTTCTGCCTTCAGTTAGAAGCATGCTTATTTCATGCTCTCTCTTATTTGCAAATTGTCAAATTGTTTTTTTTTTTTGCCTGAGACGCAAAATAAGAAAAACGAATTTGGCCCTAATGATGAAACACTGGTTATGCTCTGTAATTCGTTTGCTACGGGCAGTTCAGGTTAGGGATTGAAAATAACTTGTGAATGCAGCGGAAGTAAATCTGACTGGAAGTTGCATCTAAAGTAGGAAAACGTCAATGGAATTCATTCACTAACATCTTTACTCAAATTATTGCTTGTATTTGTCTAAAAGGACATTTTGCAAGAGGAATCTAAATTAAATGTTGGAGCAACTAAGATGAGAAATAGTGTCTTGATTTTAGAATGAAGATTTATTGAATAGATTTTGTTCTTCACAAGGTTTATTATAGTCAGGAACAAGCTTATACCTCCACCTAGTGGTCACAATGAGTATTGGGATAGGAAAACGCCCCATTCGTCTTGACACAGCCTTCTTCTCCATCCTTTATTTTCTCAGGACAGCAAAGAACCTCCAGACTGCTGCATTAGTGAATCTTTCACGTCTCCTTCATGCACTCTTGGAGTCGACCTGCGTAGGGGCAGGCGTCGTTTCTCTGGCAACCTGCAGCTACCCCCTTTATCATGGCGTCAGGGGGAAAGGTCACGAACACCAGACATCGAGAGCATGGCCCGGCCGACATCCCTCCCATTTGGGGCCCCTCCAAGGATAGACATCACACCTGTGGATCCAGACAGGTGTGTGGAGTGTTTACTTGTTTTCTTTACTGAGTGTTCACTACACCAACATGTGAGTTTTGATGGCTGAAATCTGCAGCTTCCAGTGCTTTTCCTTGTGTCATGTGACACAGAAGCTGTGCAAGCCCCCTAACGAGCATGCATCACATCATGGCAGCACACACATCATATCATACCAGTAAAGTAGCACAATAAGCTGCAAATCTTCGTCAAAAAAAGATGGTGCATGTAGCATTAAACAACAAAATGACCACGCTTTTATTCAAGTTTGACTATTAACACATTAGAGGTACTGAAAGCTGTGGATGAATCTCAAGCCTGACATGGTTTAGCAGGGCTGCGGTGTGTCATCCTCACTTCATTATTTAACGTTCAGGTTGCATTCACCCTGTCAAAACTGACACTGCCTTGTTTCATTATTCATGCTCCAAGCCGCCAGACACCATGTATTCACACTCATGCACACACACATAATGTGCAATTTTAGGCAGCACAAACAGCAAGTGGCCGATGTTGATGTTATGCAGGTGTGTGTGTGTGTGTGTGTGTGTGTGTGTGTGTGTGTGTGTGTGTGTGTGTGTGTGTGTGTGTGTGTGTGTGTGTGTGTGTGTGTGTGTGTGTGTGTGTGTGTGTGTGTGTGTGTGTGTGTGTGTACAGATACTGAGCAAGTCTTGATTAAATTTAGCTTTATTTGATTTTAGCTTGTTAAATGTGTTTCAGATCTGTGGTAATTAGCTCTGTTATCAAATGTGTGTATCGTATTTTTACCCTGATTTTAATGTCTCATGCAGGAAAAACAAAAACACACAAATCAAAAATAGCACACAAAGTTAAATCAACTACAAAATTCAAATACGGATGTACAAGCACCAAATGTGTTATTGTTAGGTTTGCTCTCAACATGAAGCACAGAAAAGGAAAACTCCTGTCTTTCTTATCTAAATGCATCTAAATGGCAAAAACATAATAGATCTTAAAGAATTACTGGCTGACAAATTTTGAAAACATCTAGATGGCCAAAAAAAAACAACCTTCAAAATAATTATTTTGTTATTTCATTCCATAAACACAAAACTACTAAAAACAATGAGAAATTAAGTAATCCAATTACTTGAAGTGATTTTCTGGGTAAAGACGTGATAGAAATCAATTATGTAGCAACACATTCTGAGTCAAAGAATCTGTCACATTATTGACATTTGATTTTTCCATCCATCTATTCTCTTTTCTTATCCGGGGTCGGGTCTTGAGGGCAGCGTCCCAAGCAGAGAGGTCAAGACTTTCCTCTCCCCAGCCACCTGGGCCAACTCCTCCGGGGGAGTCCTATGGCATTCCTGGCCAGTCGAGAAACAGAGTCCCTCCAGTGTGTCCTGGGTCTTCCCTTGGGTCTTCTCCTAGTTGGACGTGTCCAGAAAATGTCACCAGGGAGGTGTCCAGGAGGCATCCTGACCACCTCAACTGGCTCCTCTCTATGTGGAGGAGCAGGGGGTCTACCCTGAGCCCCTTCCAGATGATAGAGCTTCTCACCTTATCTCTAAGAGAGAGCCCAGACACCCAGCGGAGAAAACTCATTTCAGCCGCTTGTATCTGCAATCTTGTTCTTTCAGTCATTACCCAAAGCTCATGACCATAGGTGAGGGTAGGAACTAGATCGAGAGCTTTGCCTTCTGGCTCAGCTCTCTTTTCACCATGTCAGAACGGTACAATGCTCGCATCACTGCAGACGCAGCACCAGCTGCCTGTCGATCTTCATTTTTCCCTCACTCACGAACAAGACCCCGAGTACACCCAACAGGGCCCCACCGAGGTACGCAGTTGAATGCCTTCTCCAAATCCACAAAACACGCATAGATTGGTTGGGCAAACTCCCACGCTCCCTCCAGGACCCCCCTAAGGGTATAGAGTTGGCCCAGGATGAAAACCATGTTGCTCCTTCTCAATCTGATGTTTGACATTCTGATGGAACCTCCTCTCCAGAACCACCAAATAGACCTTGCCAGGGAGGCTCAGGAGCGTGATCCTCCTGTAGTGGGAACACATCCTGCTGTCCCCCGTGTTAAACAGGACTACCACCACCCCGGTCTGCTTTTGATATTTAATTCTAATTAAATCCACATATGATGATCCTCCAAACATGTTAGCAATTAAAAGTTTTTTAATCCTCAACAAAACATCACTAACAGCAGAAAATGCAAGAAGAGGCGAGATGTATGCATATCATCAGTGTTAATGTGTAAGACTCATAATACTGACCCCCCTCCTCTTCTGACACATGTCTACCCCTGAAACGGGAGCCATAGAGCCACTAACCAGGCATTTATTGAACTATAACACACAGTAAATTAATGAAATATGAGTAAGACCTTTAAAAAGTTACAAATGTTGACATGAAATGATTTATTTTCTAAATTAGTCAAATTTTAATTTGCATGTTATTAATCGCTATGTTTTCATCCTTTTTAGCTCTTGTCTAATTCTGGTCCAAGGACCTGATGTGAAAATGTGAGGAACTAAAGCACTAAAACAAATAATTAACAGTTTTTTTCGACTGCTAAAACTCAAAAAGCAAAAATGAGGCACAATTTTCACAACCTCTACTTCTGTTCCCAGTCGCTTGACTCAGTTAATCTCTACTTAAGATTTCCTTATCATACTAGAACTCTGATTTTCCTTCTTTACACTCTGATGTCAATTTCACATTAACTTGCTGTCAAAACGCTGCACACAATTTTCAGGTTTACACACACTTCTCACATAAATTCTCAAAGCTTCAATCAACAACACACAAATATTCAAATCTCTAAACTTTCGGGTCTGGCGAGCAATTTGCAATCAGGGACTGCAGCATAAAAATAAGTTTCCACAAGGCTACCCAGGTGCATGAGTGGTTTCAGGACCACCCACCGTTTTCCATTTTATACCTTCCACCTTATTCCCCCTTCCTCAATCCCAGTGAGGAGGTTTTCTCAGCCTGGAGGTGGAAGGTGTACGAAAGGAATCCACAGAGCTAGGTCCTCCTGGTTCAAGCCATGGAGGAGGCTTGTAGAGATGTGGCCTTTGAGGCCTGTCAGGGCTTCACGAGGCACTCGAGGCGGTACTTCCAGTGCTGTTTGGACCAGGAGGATGTTGATGAGGCCCTCTGGCCAGACAGAGACCGGAGGCCTGAGAGGGGGTGGGGGTGGGGGGGTGGGGGGGGTTGGGGGGTGGGGGGGGGGTTGACAATAAAAATAAAATCTGTTGTCTCAAAATGTATGGGGGGGGGGGGGGGGGGGGACCGAAAAAGTAAAATGTTTTGTCTCAAAATTTGTGTGATGTCTAATGTTCGTCTCAGAGAAAAGTGGGCACTGTCATACATTCAGTGTGTGATTCACTGTGTTCCATTTAGACAATTGTGTTTTCAGTTTTGCTCTTCAGTGCTCTTTCCATGCTTGGTAGTGTTCACCCAAAGGCTTCTTGTGTTTGAGCAATGAATGGTGTGTGTGTGTGTGTGTGTGTGTGTGTGTGTGTGTGTCATGTGAAAATGTGGCTGTGTTTACCAAATGAAAACACGTGTTCCATTTTGGGAACATGTTACGATATGTGGTGGCAGGGTTTTGTTGCAAAGGAAAGCCACGGTTTAGGAATTTGTGTGTCATGTTTGGGGTTTTGTGTGTGCAGTTTTGAAAAACGCGTTTTAGCAATCGACAAAAACTGTAATTTGTATTCAACTGTTTCACACGCTTCAGATTAGGAATAGCCTGATAAATACCAGTCAGCTGATTTATCCGGTCAACACTTACCATCTTTTGTAATAAAGCCCATTTAAAGGCCGCCCGGTGCGGCTGCAGAATTGCATTTATTTGTGTATTTATGTTCCTGAATAACGTCCTTTCTGAAACATTATTGCCATCTGACATTAGCTTTTATTTTCCAGTTTTTTTAATACTAGGTCTGTTAATTAATTTGTTTGACTAACTTTAGTTAAATGATTTTAATACTCTGCACTGCACAAAATTAAGAGTCAAGAGTTGAATAAATTCAGTGTTGAAAGACTGATGAGATTCAGAAATGTTGTGCATCTGTTATTAGTGACGTTGCAGCTTGTAGAAAAGGCAAAAAACATTTAGATGCCGGTCCCAAAATATCCACAGCACACATCGACTGAGCACGACTAAACAAAACAGGTTAAAAAAAGATGAATATATAAGCAGTTTTTAAGAAGACCAGCAGGGAGCAGTGTGGTAACACCGGCCTGGATGCACAAACTAGGATCAGAAATGAAGTGAAATTAGAGGAACAGTGGACATATTATTTGAAAGAATGACACACAATTATCTGAAAAGGGTTCATCTTTTATTTGTACTAGAAGCAAATTGAATCACACCTTATGACTCATCGCATGTTTACATGATCATTGACTTGGATTGACTTCATTTATTTGGAAAAGAAATCTATGTTTCTCCTGTTAACAGCGGGCTCTGTGGTGTGAGAACATCAGGCCCTGACCACCAGGTTTGAATCCCAGTAAACTTGGTGTCAGTGCTGCTGGTCCTCTTGTGTTAACCTCTCAGCTCAGGCTGATGTAACATGAGTCCACCTGTATGGCGCAAAGCACCTGCGGCCTTATCGGATCAAGAGTCCTGTCAAGCATCACCGCTGCAAAATGTAAATAGTTACCAGAAGCTTGCAGGCTGTCACGTCTGATTACTCTTTCCTCCTCGTGAAGTCTTGAGCTGGTAGATGTCTGTATGTGATCGGGTTATCAGGTGTATTTATTCTATTTTTGGGAACACGTCTCTTCCTCGTGATCCTTCTTACTGATGAAGTGGTTGTGTTGATGTCTGGGGCAGGGAGGGAGGAAGAAGTTATTTTTAGATTCAATTATTTTTCCTGCTGATGCACACATTTGTTTCTGAGCTCAGACTGATTCTGAATCTGTGTGTGTGTGTATGTGTGTGCGTGTGTGCGTGTGTGTGTTTCTGGGTGTGTTTCTGCCACTCAAGCTTGTTTTGCTG